CCAGTTTTGATGTAGTTTTGTTTTCGTTGTTGTATATTTGTCACAGCAGGGACTTGTATGTGATTTTTTTGGTCAGCCATCTCCATTACATTTTAAAATCATGTTTGGAAATAGAAATTTAGACAGAATGATACCCCACAAGAATAAAAGTCTGTCAATAAACCACATGAAAATATTTTAGTGAAAGATCAACAGACATTAAAATTGCACAAATCTGATAAAGTCCTAGATAAATCTGGATGCCTGTACTTAATTACCATACAAAGAGAGTTAACCTTGAACTTCCTGACTGCTAATAGATTGTGCTTCCCAATAAAAACTGAGCAGTTTGAAAGGTCTACTTCATCTTGGATTCCCTTGTTAATTTTTAGATGCAGTTAGTTCTTGGGTTGGTTTGTACAGCAGTCCGTGTTGAGGATGTTTAAGTTTCTAACTCCTTTTGAAAAAGGGAAGGAACTATGACAACAATTCATCAGTATTTGCAAATTAATTATGATTAACCTTTCATAATGGGATTATGGTTAATTGTTGATTCATCTCCCAGTCCTCCTTTTCATGACTAATTCTCATATCAATTTAACCTGAGGCAGCAGATATAAAAATTTCCAATTAGACAGCTTCCTTCACAATTACCTAAGAGCCAGGAATTTGATTTGGAAATGTGATTTTGTGAGTATTTGTTTTCTGCTTGTTTGTCTTTTTAAAATCATGTGTTACATGGTCTATAAAGAAGATTCAGGAGGATGGTTGGGGAATGCTTGCTTTGCTACTTGTTCTTCGGGAACAACGCCAGTAATATTTTTTTAATGGTACCAATTCGTAATGTTCCAATTTCAGCACCCACTGACACCCTCAAGTGTGTTTTTCTGATATTTAGTTATGTGTCTGGTGTTTGATGTTGTTTTAAGGACCTGACACCTTCCCTAGCTTCAACAGATTAGTGTGAATTATGAAATATACTCAGAAATTTTTATTTTAAATTAATGAGGCAGGATGCATCATCTCAGTAGACTGCTAATGTGATCACATTTGGTACAAAACCAAGCCTATCCAGTTGTTTAGTTAAGTGATTCATCAATATAATTGGAAGATTTTTGTCCTGTCCTATATAATTATATTATCACATGTCACTCAGAGACATACACGTTTATGTTGTCAGTGAATTACAGCCAACTCTAATTTTTAATTTAATATACAGAAAAATGCTCAAAATATGACATTTAATTAATATTTAAATGGCACATTTAGTGAAAAGTCAGTTTCTATCCACATTTAATTTATAAGGTCATTTTACTTTACTATCGGGCTCCTACCTCACCAAGGACTTAATTTTGCTTAATTCTCTTTCCCCCCAACATTGTTATAGAGTGAGAGTTTGTCTTTAAGGGTCAGAACTATATGCATTTTGGGACAATGTATCATTAGGTTATGCATATGCATCATAATCAGAACAGTCATATTAAAAGTCCCAATGTTCTTTTCCTAACCTTGACAATAAAGAATCCCATATGTGTGCTGCTCGATTGCAAATGATAAGATTAGAATTCATCAAATTTTTATGACAATTACATGGGTACACTGCTAAGGATTTCCTTCAGTTTGATACTCTGCTTTGAATATTTTTATTGGTTTTTAAATATGTTTTATCTTTTAAAATACTGGTCATGAGGGTGCTGTGAGTCAGCATCGACCAAGTGGCCGTGAGCGACTGAGATCTTTCATGATAGGTAGACCCAAGGTGACAACTTTGAATTTGAATGTTTTCCTTTGGAAAATATAAAAAAAACTAGATTCCTATGCCAAGTATTGCTCTCTCATTTAAAAAAATAAATAACGAGCAATCTCTGAGATTACCAGTCTGGAAGCCTTTACTGCGAGTAGAGTTTGTTATGTCTAGCTCAATGGTGACAGAGATTAAGTGGCCGCAACTGCCAAGGACTGAAGTGGCGCAGCAAAGCGTCATATAGCTCTTCATAACACATCCCTTTGTATTCTCAATTTTATGCTTTTTCTTCAGAATGAAGGCTTAAGCTATTACCTAATAAAAGCAAATTAGTTGCCCATGGTGTGACGTTCACTATTTGAGGTCTACTTTTAATTTACGAAATGATTGTGTTCTAATCTAAAAGATCATTCAGAGCCATTCAAAATCAGTATTAGGAATGTGTCCAAGATTGGCACTTCAAAGTGTATTCACTGCAAAATAAACAGAAGTTGCCTCTCTGTTGTTTTTTTAAAAAGTATTTCTATAGACAAATATGCTGAATTCCAATTGTGCTGTTTGGAACATACCTATTCTGACTGCGGGAAGAGACATGGGAACCTCCGCCATCTTCTTACTTCTGCCACGCTCAGTGCACTCAATGGGCCTGTTTACAGAAGGGGCAAAGAAGCAGAGGTTGTAGTGCTTGTCAACCTAGAAGCAACTCTTTCAAAGAACCAATAATCGAGAGCCATGATGAGACGAGCATTTTGGCAGCAGAGTTGTTTATTGTTGTGAGCTGCAGGGAACTAAGTCGGAGTAGAGGAGGGATCTGTGCGGTTTGAGAGTAGTTGAGACAGAAAGGAACCCGAAGAAAGGAGTGTGGCATTGTCTACATCTCCTGCGTCGTTTGATCTCTCTCCTCTGCGTTTTAGTCCTCACTACCCTTAGGCCCTGTTCTCACCTGGAGTAAAGGTGAGGTCAGATCTACGCTCATTGAGCCGTTCCTATGCCAATCTTCTCCTCGCTTCTCATCAGCGTCCAGACGCCTCCGCTCTGTGGGGAATAGAAACGTACTGGATGAAAGTTTGGGGTGCCTTTCATTTAAATAGTGATATAATGGTAGCAAGTTACAGACTGGTTGCAAAAGGACTTCTGGAATGGATTTGACAGGCGTTTGTATTAAAACCTGCGACATATTTGATCGCCAAAATTTCAGTAATAATGAATGTGTCCGAAGGGCAAATCTTCACGTACCTTTCACCACGATGCAGGGTTTTAATGTTTCCATTAGCAAAGTTGATGGCATCACAGAGCTGCCTCATACAGTAGTTTTTGCCTCTTTGAATGATTGACATATCAATTATGTTTCAGTATTATTTTTTTCACACTTAATTTCTTCAGTTACCTTCAAAGTTGCCAATTTGGGCGGATGGCCAGAATGCTTTGTAGCCTCTTGTGTTAGAGCCCAACAGCTAACCATTTAACTCTTCCCTGCACAGTGCTATGGGAAAGTTTTCATTCAGTAGATCCTGATGAAGAAAGAAAGGCTGTCTTTTTTTATATTATTTTAATTTTGATAGGCACTTGATGGTTATGTTAACTTATTTTACTTTTTAGAAAACAGCTAATAAAAAGTATTAATATGATGTATTCTCCTCTTTCCGCATGCTACTGTTGATTCCACAGAAAGACACCCAATTACAAATGCAATTGATGGGAAGAACACTTGGTGGCAAAGTCCCAGCATTAAGAATGGAGTTGAATACCATTATGTGACAATTACACTGGACTTGCAGCAGGTACGGTGCTACTTATTGATCGTTTTTCACTTTTGAAATTCTAGCTTGGTTATCCTAGTTGTTTAATTAGTAGTTCTTAGGTGAAAGGATATTCCACCTTATAATCTTCTGTTCTTTCCTTGATACAGTAAAAATAAAAGGGGGGGGGCTATGCATTTAGTATATTGTCATTAAAAAAATAAAAGTGTTTGATATTCATTTCTAAAGCATAAATAACATGAATATACATGAAGAGCTCAGTACTGAACTCTGTTTTGATTAATTAGAGTTGATGATGAAAACATGAAACAACACAATTTTGCATAAAGATATAAACTATTTTTAACCTTTAAAAGCTTACAGTGCTGCCACTCTGCTGATGGTGTGTGTATTTAAAGATTTTTGAATAACAAGGCTCTTGATTAAATTGCCTCCCACTAGTGAGAGTTGAGCAAGCTCTGAAGGTTGGTTCAGATATTAAACTTGGGCTACTACATGAGGTAACAAGCCTCACAATTGTATAAAATTGATTTAGAAGATTGTAGAGATGTGTTGTATAGGCTTGGTTGCCTTTGACATCTAATGTATTCTTTTGGTTCACAATGTCCAGGTCTGGGTAAAGTTAATAATCAAGTATCCCTAGAACTCCAAATTATTTAAGCTTAGAAATAGAGAGATTTGCAAAAATGCTCCTTTATTTTGCTATAATTCCCAAATAAGATTTAGTTAAATCGATTGTAGACTGGGACTGGAGACATTGGACCTCGCTGGCCTCTTTCAATCTGCAACTCTTTCCCTCTCTCGAAGCAGGTAGGACAGATCTGCAGCCTCTCCTCTCTAGTCCAGGGTGGAGATGGAGATGGAGAGGTTTTAGGATAAACCCAGGTGGTGGTGGTGGTGGTAATGACAGCTAACTATTGATAATACACATGATCAAGAGTATGGTTTCTGCAGGTGGCCCTTTTGTAGGGAAACATCACCCAGTGGGGGTTAGGGCCATTCTTCAGGGGAGAGAGAGGCGCCTGGCATTTTCCTAATGGTTACATGGCCCCCAGTCATAGTACCACTTTCTTCCCCCAGGGTCTGGACCTACCTTGGCTAGAGGCACATGCACACATTTGTGCTGGCTGCCAGGACAGCAGGCAATGGGTTTCCGAGCAGATCCTGTTCCACAGATCTGGTTCGGAACCTGAACAACTCGGTGAGAGCAGGGGCTCTGTACTGCAGCTAAAGAGCTAACTAGCAAGAGATTATTTCTGGTAGATAATAGCTGGTTGTCAGTCCCGAGTTTCTGACATTTCCAGGAAGTCTCCGTGCCCTATCTGGGAATGGCAAGGCAAGCTACTACATGATAAATGATGTTTTAGATCATGAGTTCCCTGGAGATCCTAAACTCAAAAGGGATTTCATCTCCCTGATGTTGATGCCTAGTCCTTAACGGGCAGCTGCATTCTCTGCCTTCGATTTAATCACTGAAATCCAGCCTTCCTCCTCAAGAGTGGATCTGCTGCTCTGTGCTTAGGACGATTTTTTGGACTAGGGAGTCAATAAATAGTGGCATTTGATGTTTCTGGTTGACTCTCCACTTATTTCTTTGGACCACACATGTAGCTAGAAAGTCAATTACTAAAACAGTTTGCACAAATCATTTATATTACTCTGAGCATAAGCACAAATTCATCTTGTTATCAAATGTACCCCCCTTTCCCTTCTAATTTATAACTTGATGGTGTAATCAAAAGGTTTGACTAAATCATCTCTATCTAATTTATCTATCATCATTAATTCAGCCGGTCAGAGAGTTCACCCGAAAGCCCATTTATCAACGAACCCGTTGGTTTCTAGGTTTCCTTTGCTTCCCCACACATCCATTTCCACTATGTAGATTTGGACAGCTAACTATTGTGAAACCACTAAAAATAAAGATAGAGAGGAAATCTTGATAGGAAACTAAGAAAAGTTACTCCAAAGGACAACAGCCAGCCGCGTTCTCTACGGAGCCAACGGGATCTTGAGGACAATAAAATGTGCTGAGCAAAAATAACTGCAGACCTCCAACTCCATACCAATACAAATGTGCTTTGAAAATGGAGATGGATTTTGTAATACATCCAGTTTAACCTTTCTGGAGATAAATCTACACCTTAGCCATGAAACTCCCAAGATGCTCAAAGCTGTTGCTGGTTTCCCTGTCTTCTGGGAAAGCACCTTCTCAAGGTGGCTTCTTCCACTCAGGTGGGATTTAAGCTTTTAAGGTAAGCCCATGAGAAGCATTTAGCTGGTATTAAAAAGGTCTGTGATTCAAACCCACTAAGTTCTCCATGGGAGAAAGTTGCGGCAGTCAGTTCATAGCTTGGGAAACCTAGGGGCAGGCAGTTCTACTCCTGGTCTACAGGGTTACCACTGACTTCATGGCAATGGGAATCTTGAGTTGTGTTAATTTTTTCTGCTGTTCCCTCCTTCCCATTTTGTTTAATAACTTTAAGAAGGGAGGAAACTATTAAGATAGCTTTCATAATCCAAACTTTACCATAGTGCTAAGGTTGTGTTCACAGGCCAGATCTAATGAACTCCACGGTGTAGGAGGAGTCAAATAGAAGTGGCAAGGTGGACATGCCCTGGAACAGTCCTATACTTCATGTACGTTCATACTTAAACCTTAACTACCTCCGCACTCTCCTGCATCCTGCATATCAGCCTACGGTTGTTTAACAGAATGAGAACATAGATAATCTCTAAATGGAAAAAAATTCTTATTCCACTTGATCCACAGTTTTAATTTATTTAATGATTTTGACAAGGAGGCCTGGTGGCACAAGGGTGAGGGACCCAGCTACTAAAGAAAAGGTCAGAAGTGGAAAAGACCAGGCGATCAGCTCTTGTAAAGATGAAGCCTGGGAAATCCTTTGGGTCAGTTCTACTTTGTCCTTCTGAGGCACCAACAGTAGAAAGGACCGCAACTCCACACAGCAAAATGCATAGCTTTTTTATTTTGAGACTTTATATAATCACTGAAACATATATGTTTAAATTTATTTACCAAAACCAAAGCTTCCAAATGGACTATATCCCAGGTGCCATTTATTTTTTTAAGTTATAACTTTATGACAAGGCATACACAAGGCAAGGTCTGGTTCTAGTGAGAATAATGACATGGATATTAAGTGATATAATATTTGTAATTGATTTTGTGATAAAATTCCTTGATAGGAAAGGAAGTTCTATCTTTCTGTAGGCTCTGGCCAGCAGAGTAACAAAGTGTGGGCTATATTTGTAGCGCTAATTCAGATAAAGAGCAAAGCTACAAGAAGGCATATTTCAATACATCAGAAGCACAGAGAATAAGGACACCTTTATTATTTCATTTTTAGGCAGTTCCCAGATTACATATGAGTTCCATTCTTAAATGTATCTTAAAGTCAAAATTTTATGTAACTCCAAACAATTAAGATACCATTCATACATAACATTAACTTGTCAAATATTGCTTTCGTATATAGTTTAGAGTGTACCTTCTTTACATGAAAAAAAATTAAAAAAACGCCAAGATGCACTATATCTTTAACATAACCCAATAATAATAATGCCAATGTTTTAATGCATGTATCAAAATAGTGCCCTTTTGTTTATGAGGTATAACAAAATTTTCATACATGTGTTATTACAAACTATTTACTTTCAATTTTTACTACAATCAGTTTAATTGAGGTTTGTCCTTAACTATGGATTATACATGTTTGTAGCCAGGGACTGCCCATACATCTCATATTACTCAAATGAGGCAGATAGTATTATTATCCTTATTTCACAATCGAAGAACACAAGGGCTCTGAGAAGTTCTCTTGTTTGGCCTCACACACATAGGTTACAAGGGACAAAGATGTGATTTTAACTTGAATTTTAATCTAGACCCAAGACTTTTAACCATTACCGACTATAACAGTATTGCCTAACCTGGGATCTTAAGCCCTAGCATGAGAATTTTGTGCATATATTCTCAAGTACCCATATATTGTTCAGATTTCAAAAACACCATTTTATATCTTACGTACTTCTACAAGAGAGTATTGTCAACATTTATTTCAGCATAAGACAGGGACCAGACTCCCATTTCCTAGTGTACGCTATTATTCCTCTAAAATGGCCTTAGTTCTGTTTTTTTTTTCTTATCTAATTATAATATGAAGGATTAATCAGCTATGCAGAGCAATATGAGCCATTGTTCAATTAGGAGCTTAGGGCAGTAGTTATAATAAATAGGTGAATATCACCAAGCTCTTGTTTATCATTGATCCACCAGATGTTTGATCGTTTATGGGTTTGCCTTTTTATGTTGTGATTTATGAATTTCAGCAGTTTCAGTACTGTAGCTTCTCTGAGAAGCACTTACACAAATAATTCTTTAAAGTAGTGATTGTCTTCCTTTTATGAAATCATTACTGGTTACTATTGACTATTTCTTTAATATTTTCACATCCAATACAACCATTAACAGGATATGGCAATTTATTTACAAGAAAGTAGCTGTTTATTTTATAAGTAGGTTGTTTTTAGACTTTAATTAATGAGGGATTTTTAATTTTTCCCAACTCACCTATTCACTGACAGTGTATTCAGAGCAAATGACTTAATCATGCTGTGCTCCAAACTGTAGATTAACACAAAGAAAATTATAATAGCATGGCGAAAAAATTTGAAATAATGGTAATAGCAGTGTAACAACCAAACTCCATCTGGTCAACATAAGGACCATGTATCATAATAACCTTGATGATAACTTAAGCTTTTCCCAGTTAGGTGTATGCAAAAACCTAGTAAGATGGGGGAGGGGGGTAAACACATTTAAAAACACCCCCAGCAGCCTGAAAGCAGAGATTTGAAGGTTAATAAATGGTTCAAAACAATCCATTCTAACCAGATTTCTGCCACAAAACATGTGATGATATTCACTTCATTCTTTTTTTATATATGACCATTTTCTTAGGCTCATGCTTTGATTTATTTAGGGAGAAAACTTATTG